TATATATAACTAATCAACCATCTAAACATAATGTGAGAAGTGTGTCATTTAAATTTTTTAAACTGAGTTGTTTTTGGCTTTTTTGTTGTACACTGAAATAAATGAAAATAAAATGTGTCACCATTCTTTTAAAAAGAGTAAGTGCACAAAGTAGAGTGAAAGGGATGGGGGAGAAGCAGTGAAGGTTCTAGTAAAGCCTTAAAAGACGTTCAGAAAGCCTGGAACCTTTGTGACAAATAAAAACAAGAATTTACAAGAAACTCCAACTCAGCAGCATCTGACACATAACATGTACAACTCTTTGTTTTTATTTACCTTGGCGACATAGTGATTATCTGATAACGATTTAAGCTCAATTCAATATATTGGTACATTTCCTATATGCAATTATTATCAACCAACAGTGATTATTTCTGTACAATACTGTTATTTTAATGTCTTGTATGGATGTTTTGTGTGTCTACTGACTGTGAAACAAATTGCCCCTTGGGGATAATAAAGATACTTGAACTTGAACTAGTATTATTTATTTATTATTGTTATTTACTTTGTTTTAGTTCTGTACTGTGCCTTTGTCTCTAAGCAAATAACCTGATCTTTTTTTAAATCACTGTTTTGTTTTAATTTGGGTATTTTCCTAGTGTACCTATAGCTGCTATACAAACACTATCTATCTATCTATTAGTATTGCAATTATTAATTAGTTCAGATAATAATTAGATAAAATAGTTTAGATGCTATATCTGTTGGTAAAAAAGCCTAGCTCTAGATAAATTCATAGCCTAATTAGTTTTTAGGTTTGATATTAAAATGCATTTTTTTTTTAATTTAACACCAAAGCATCACATACAATTCGATTGTGTGTGTGTGTGTGTGTGTGTGTGTGTGTGTGTGTGTGTGTGTGTTTCCGTGCGCGCACTCCGGAGCTCCTGAGCTAGCCTCCTGGTAGCATGCTGCTAACATGAACCCACAATGCACGTCTTCTCTCCGCGGGAGAGGATGCGTCCAAGGCCCGGAGAATGACGTAGGACGGTGCCGTTAATGGGGCCGTTCGAGGACAACTGTTGGACAATTTCGGAAATATTTCCTTTTCAGTCCCAGACTGGACACGCCAGCGCTCGAACAAACGAGCATCCGAGCTCCCAGTGCGGATGTGAGGAACGGAGCGAGCCGAGGAGGACGCGTTCAGAACCAGGAGGGAGGGGGGTTCTTATGGGACCGCCACAGGTATGTGGTCTGAGCCTGCGGTGCTAACAGCCTCACCGCCGGCTGGAGTCTGCCGGTGGTTCTGGTGCAGATCCCCGGGGCTTCTCGGCCGCACTGCCCGGGGCTAACAGCAGGTAGCTCGGTTAGCTAGCTCCTGGTTCCTCGCTAATCTTTACCTGGAGAGGAAAGACGTTATGATGCGCAGACTCCACTGTACACCGTGACTCCTTCGGCATTTAGTTTTTTGCTCAGACAAGAGTGAAACTACACATTTAGTTTATTTAATTTACCTCCTCTCAGGTTTTTGTCCAACTTGTGTTTGGTAATGAGCTTTTCTCTGTTTTAACAAATAGATAAATAAACCCCAAGGCATTTTAAATAAGCATATGTAAGATCAAAAATCCATTAAACACTGAGATTATTTTATGCATTTGAACCCAATATGTTTTCTGAATAATATGCACAGGGGATGTAAACAATAAAAACTATGTTTTAAGGATAATTTATCACTTTACTCATTGCAAAGTCATGAAGACTTTATTTGTTTTTTGTAATATAATAAACAAAATCCATACAATATTTTTCTCATTTCAATGCTTAATGCGTCCTTAAATAAAACGATGTCATTTAAGCTTCTACAAAAGCTCTGTGCTTTGTTTACATTGAGTGCATACCTGCATTTTGGAATTACGTATTAATATATCTGGAAAACTATGGAAGTGAACACTTTCAAACAGCTTTATATTTGAATTCATGCTTTGCAATGAGTACCTTTAATTGTCATTTTGATGAGTTTTATTTAAACGTTTGGTTTGGAAAATGTTCTCTGTCACACTTTCTGGAACAGTTAAAGATTATTTTATCGGGGTACATAAAACAACATCGCATATTAAATATTGTAACTGTTTGTTTGAACTTAGGCTTTCTAGACTAGTGGTTCCCAAACCTTTTAGCTTCTGATCACCAAACTAACAGCGAGGATGTGCAAACTCAGATACCCTTTGTTTAGCTGAACTATGCAAACATTACTAAAAATTTAATAAGGAAGGAATCAGCGACAACACAAATACATTAATGACTAATGATTTTTATCTTTTTATCGCAAAATATAGTAAAAATATATTATGTATTGATTGTAACTGTTATTTGATTACTGGAGATCTTCCCAAGATCCCCAACTTGATGTTTTGTGACCCACACAGAGGTATCAACCACAACTTTGGGAACCACTGTTCTAGATAAAAATTAATAAGCAAACCCAGTAACTGGTTGTTGGGCTTTTAAAGAAAACAAAACTTCAAAAATACAGTCATGCATGAAATTGATACAAAACAAAAGAGGGAATAAACAAAAATTCAGTATTGAACAAGTTTATAACTTTTGCCATTATTTGGAGTCAACTCTGCTTGTTAGCAAAATAACTCATGAACCACTATACAGAACTTATTGAAACACTCAGAAAATAATCTTTAAATGTACATGTACTACCCACTGCAGCTAATCAACATTAGCCAGCAAGAAACTGGCAATAACTTAGATAAGTTAGCAGATATTGAGCTAAAATTAGATTTAATGGTAGCTGATACTAATTTACAGCACACTCTCTGGTGCAATATTCATTCAGTCTTTATTTATACAGGTTAGTCAATATTACCAGAGATTAGATTGTTTTTAAAGTTTGACAAGAACGGCTACAACTCTGTAATATCATCTCAGCATAAGATTATGTTGGTCTAAAACTCTGGCATAAAAGAAAGAGTATGACATGCATTCTAAAAAAAAAAATGCTCCAAATACAAAAATCTGTTTCAAACCAGAGTTTAGTTTCCCAAATCCAATTATGTCAGCTATAAAACAGACACTCAGCTTGTTGTGGTTCTTCATTTGCTGTTTTCACTTGTTGCTTCTGTTTCTCCTGCAGGTGCAACTTGAAAAAGATGAAGCATAAGTAGGAGATTTCCCTCCACTCTTCCCAACCTCTGGTCGTTTTTCTTCAGCTCAAGCCGTCAGAAGCCTCAGTCACAGCTCCTTCCAGAGCTCAGACATGGAGTGAGTTTTTATTTTCCTTTTCTCCTTCACACATTCAGATGCCCAAAGGTGTGTGCTTATTACTTACTTATCTGCTTTTCTTTCTTTAGTTGGGCCTCTCCAGCTGCTAAACTGAGTCATTACTCTCGAAACCGTGCATCCGAGGCCTGGCAGCAGCACGCCATCGCTGTCCCTACAGGAGCTGAGAATTCACTGAACTGTGCCGTGTATGGGATCGTACTGCAGCCGGATGCTACGTCGCTGCAGCAGCAGGGCCAGCATGGTCCACACAGCCAGCAGCAGCAGCAGCACCCTCCTCAGAACCAGCAGACTCCCCTGCAGGATGAAGCAGACAGAGTGCACAAATGTGGGTCTTGTGGACACAACCTCTCCCACCTTGCAAACCCCCTTGAGCACCAGTGCATGATGAGTCAGGACAGGTCGTTCCAGTGCACCCAGTGTCTGAAGATCTTCCACCAGGCCACGGACCTGCTGGAGCACCAGTGCGTTCAGGTGGAGCAGAAGCCGTTTGTGTGCGGGGTGTGCAAGATGGGTTTCTCCCTGCTCACCTCTCTGGCCCAGCACCACACGTCCCACAACAGCAGCAACCCCATGAAGTGTTCGATATGCGAGAAGACGTACCGGCCCGGTTCGTCTGAGAACACAACACCCACATCCTCGAACAGTTCCCAACCTTCCAGCAGCGACTCGGCGTCAGGCAGCAGCAGCTCATCCAGTTTGCCTTTTCCCTCGGCCCGGGACCGGCCGTACAAATGTTCTGTGTGCCAGAAAGGATTCAAACACTTGTCGGAGCTCACTCGGCATGAGCGGGTCCACACGGGAGAGAAGCCGTTCAAATGTGAAACGTGCGACAAGGCCTTCAGCCAGTCGTCCCACTTGCAGCACCACCAGAGGACACACAGCAACGAGCGGCCCTTCAAATGCGCGGTGTGCGACAAAAGCTTCAAGCACCGCTCCCACCTCGTGCGCCACATGTACGTGCACTCTGGCGAGCACCTGTTCAAATGCAACCTGTGCGAGCTTCACTTCAAGGAGTCGTCGGAACTGCTTCACCACCCCTGCCACCCGCAGGGCTCGCGCCCATTCCGCTGCGCCACGTGCGGCAAGGGCTTCAAGCGTCCATCCGATCTGCGGCAGCACGAGCGCACGCACTCAGAGGAGCGCCCCTTCCACTGCGACGAGTGTCAGATGAGCTTCAGGCAGCAGTACGCCCTCGTGCGCCACAGACGCACGCACAAAGACCCCACCGACCGACCCTTCAAGTGCAGCTTGTGCGACAAAGGCTTCATGCAGCCTTCCCACCTCCTCTACCACCAGCACGTGCACGGCATGGACAACCTGTTCAAGTGCGCCTCCTGCCAGAAGGAGTTCAGTCAGTCGGGGGAGCTGCTCAGACACAAGTGCGGCGAGTCGTCCAACACGTCCCCCGACAAGCCATACAGGTGCGACGTCTGCGGCAAGGGATACAAGAAGAGCGCCACTCTGCAGCGCCACCAGAACTCCCACTGCCAGGAGAAGCCTCTGAAGTGCTCGCTGTGCGACCGCCGGTTCGTGTCCTCGTCGGAGTTCGTCCAGCACCGCTGCGACCCGTCGAGGGAGAAGCCCCTGAAGTGCTCCGACTGCGAGAAGCGTTTCAAGTACACGTCAGACCTGAACCGGCATCGGCGCGTGCACACGGGCGAGAAACCCTATAAATGTGAGCACTGCAACAAGTGCTTCAAGCAGCGCGAGCACTTAACCAAACACCTGAGCACGCACTCCAGAGAGGGACAGTTCAAGTGTGTTTGGTGCGGGGAGCGCTTCAGTGACTTGGGCTCTTTGCAGGATCACACTGTGCAGCACACGTCTGAAGGAAGCGCATACAGTGTGCCGCATTGCATTTGACTCTTGTTTTTACTGAACAGACAGAAGCCTCAACCCTCTGCCCTCCTTCAGCCTGTGTACTAATCCTGACATCACTCTCATTCTGGGAGGTTCTGTATGGAGCACTTTTTGTGCCATCAAGTTGAGCGCACAGTGAGAATGGCGAGCGTGTGTATATTAGGCTGAGGAAACAGAAACGGGTCTCATGCAGGCTCAACGTCTCCTGTTTGCTCTTGAGAGTTGACACGGTATGGCAGGTTGTTTTACCACATAATCAAATCCCACTCTCGATTTTCAGTTTCAGTAACAGCATTTCCCCTGGGCACACTAACATTCATGAGATGAGTGTAATTTAATTATATGTTAAAACAGCCTGCCATAAAAGTGCTGAGGCGAGCAAGCAGCAGAGATGAGCCTAAATATGTGAGTTCATGATGCAGGAATGACACATTATTCTTTGCTCAGCTTAATGTGCACACGCACATCAGTCTCAGCTCGCTAAACTCGATGGCACAAATAATCTTCCTTATTTCTGAGCTGGTATTTTGAATGTTGAACTCAATCCTCTGTGCTGCATCTGCTTTTTTGTTGCTTAGCTGTTTAGCCATCATCTCTTGGTTTGTCGCTCAGATGGAAACACTGGGTCCAGTTGAATACGGTAGTCAAGAAAACTTCCTGTTGTCCATATCTGAGCCCAAGTCTTTGATCGTACATGAAAACGTCAGAAGATTGAGGAAAGGTGTTAAAAACAGCCCAGCCATGAGAATCTGAACACACTAATCTGAGATGTTGAAACATTCAACAAAAATAATACGGTAGTTTGATTATTCTGTATTTATCAGAGACTTTATTATATTTGTAAAAAAAAAAAATACATATAATGTAAATCAAAAAGGTTTTCAACTCAAAAATGTAAAAGAGAAACTTTAAAAACACAGCACAGACCTGAACTAATATTTATTTACTTAAATGACAATTGGGGAGTGTTTGAAAACTGAAGCATTGTGAGAAACCATCTATTTAGCTTTTCTGAGCTAAAGAAGTAAATAAAGGAGGCGTTAAAGCTTGTTTGTTTCTATAATTTCTAACGAAATGACCAGCTCTTATTTCTTTCTTTCAGATTTTTCACCTTGTTACGAAAAACCTTTAAGCTGAACCGTTTTTCTTTTCCTGTATCTGCGTCATGGTTTAGTCAGTGACAGCAGTGAGGAGGCTCCATCATTCAGACCTTCTTCCCTCCTGTTTCGTACAGCTGGTTGACCTGACAGATCCATCTTGTTTGTTGTTTTTAAAGCGGTGTATCGCCCGCCGCTGATAGGCCGAGGGCAAACAGTAATGTTTTGGTATGGAGCTAAAATTTGGAGTGGTAGTAGCCGAACCTTTAGTGGTGGCTTGAGTTTCCTCCGCCCGTGTCGACTCATTGTTTGGATCACATACGTTACCTGGACAGTGTTTAAAACCAACTTCACATCCTTTTTTGTTTGAATTCGTTCTCACGGAGCAACTTCCTTGATTGATGTGAAAATACAGCAAGTATGCAGCGTTGAAATGATCATAAAACGACCGAATGAGTGTCGGCGACGATTTTATGTCCCCACAGAGATCTGACTGACCAACCAGCTGGAGTAAATCTGTTTAAACCTAAATAGTTGATCCTAATCTTACTTGCTAATATATATAAATATATATATAGACCCCTGCAGGAGTCAGTGCTGTTTGAACATGACGCCTCCTCTCTCAGCCTGTATATATGATGGATGTGAACTTTAGCCACCATCGTCAGAAATGTGTCTTTCGAAAACAAAATATTTTTGCTTTGTATTCCTGGAGATTTTAATCCGTGTGAAATATTTTGACAAATGTTCTTTTGTCTCGTCGTTGTCGTTATAGTTTTTCTAGCCCGTGATGTAACCGTGCCGGTTGACTGCAGGGAATCTCGAGGAGAAACCCGCGTCTGAAGGTGTGAATGTAAGCCGTCATGTCTGTCAAACAGGGACGTCCAGACCCGCGAGAGCCCACTCGCTCCGTCGCTGACCTGAAAGCTGCTCCTGCAGGAGGAAACTTGTGGTAAAAGTTTTCACGCTTCGTTTTTGGTTCACCTGCGTCTTGCTTGTCGGAGCGGGTTCTTGTTGCACTTAAGAAGCCGTTTTGTGTTGGTTGTGAATGTGAACGCCTCTTGTCCTCCTTTGTTTTCCTCCTGCTTGAGCTTTTAGATGAGAACAGTGTTGCATTTTCTTCTGATTTGGCTTTTAAAAGAAAGCGGGTGTGCAACATGTTGCTCCTTGGAACGTTTGACTGAGAACAACATAATACATTTTCTAATTATCTAAAAAGGAAACAAGAATTCAAGCAGTTCGTTTGTTTTCGTTGCAACATGCGCATGGAGTTTTGCAGCAAATGATAGAAGTAGGTTGTTATAAATGCACTGCAGCATCTGATCATCTCTGCACCAGAATCAGCTGGAAATGTTACTGCCATAATAATTTATTGAATTTGTACTGCACTTTACATTTTTCAATCTCAAAGTGCTGCCGTATAAAACAGCTAGAGAGAATAAAGCAAAAACTAAAACCAGCAGGATTAAAAATACATTTTAAACATAAAATCTTTCAAATAAGAAGATCTTCAGTCCTTTCTTAAAACTGTCTATAGTCTGTCCCACAGAGGAGGAGCAGCAGAGCAGAAGGTTTTGTCCGGGGAGGGCAGAGCTGGTAGGAATTTGTGGAGCAGAGGGATCGTGTTGATGTCTGAGCAGTGAGCAGTTGTTTATGGAGCATTGCTGTGAACGGACTGGTGGGTGAGGAACCCTCAATGCAGAGTGAAATGGGAAGATGTAAGGACTGGGGCGATGTGGTCATGTTTCGTTTGCTTCATCAGAATCCTGGCTGCACTGTTCTGTACATACTGAAGGTTTTGAATGTGCTTGGATGGAATTCCATATAAAAAGTTTGTTGCAGTAGTCCAGTCATGAGAAGGAGGCATGGACAAGTTTTTCAGCATCGGAAAAGGAGAGTAATGGACCGAGTTTAGAGATGGTTTTAAGACGAAAGAAGGAAGTTTTACAAAAGTATTTAATATGAGATTCACATTTCACCAGAATGTCTAAAATTCAAGGATCAGTTTTACTGCTGAGGCCGCAGATCGCCAACCTGCTCTCTGTTTTGATTAACCAACTTTTAACGTACTGAAGTTCTTCGAATCCACAAGAAATTTCACATGTTTCACTTCATTTTTTCTATTAAAGGCATTAGAATGCGGTGGTGTAGAAATACAGTTTTAAACACAAGTTTTGTTGTGTTTTTTTTTTTTTTTTTACTATGCAACTTAGCAATTCATTTATCCCTACTGGTAATTCTTTTTTTTTTAATATAAAAATGGGAAGAATTCAGATCTGCATCATTCTAAACAAGAACATGTCATTTTCTGTTGTAAGATAGTTTTTTGTGTGTCCTAACACATAAAAAATACTGTTTTACAAAATAAACTAGTTTTTTAATATACACTGTTTGAAAATGTCATCAAGTATGGGTTTTTTAAGAGCCGTGTAGATTTATTTGGGTCCATACAAACTAGAAAAATGGTGTAAATGACTTTTTTTTTTTTCTAACCTGAAGGTTTGCTGGTTTAAAATAACTGGATCTTTTTCTGTTTCTGCGTTTTATCTCCCTGTTTCGTCGTATCAGGCAGCATTGATGAGATTTGCATTAGCAGAGTTGAAGAACAAATTAAACTTTTTTGCATTTGTTTATTGTTGTTGTTGTTTTGTCATTTTTAATCTTGTGGTATGGTTAATAAAAATGTGGGCTTTAAAAAAAAAAAATTCTAAAGTGAAACTGCTAAAGAAAATTCCTTGTGCAGAACGGTGCAAATGCTAATCAAATCACGTGAAATGTGCAGAAAAATCAGATGTTTTGTGTGAAAAGGACAAAAGTGTGTTCAAAACCAAAGAACTCCGCTCCAGCCCAGCAGTTTTTTTTACTTGCAAAGTCAGAGAAAAAACAAATTCCTAATCAATTGTTCAATAAAAGATCTATCGTGTGTCTGTTGATCAGCCAAGTAAAGGAGAGTAAAGCTTTCTGTTCAAGCACAAGTGGATAAATCCAGCCTTTACCTGCTGGGTTTTACTGGAGGAGAGTCCGTTCCAGTGATCCTTCCCTGTAAACCAGCCTGTTTCTGCAGGTTCGCTGTGTTTTTTCTGTCCTTTTCTCTCCACGCAGCACTTTCTCTTCTCTCATTTACATTTTATATTTTTATTGTACTGTAGTTTACATGACTGATGTTTGAATTTTAAAATGTGTACATGAGATCGTCTGTATGTAAACATTCACACAGCACTAACCAATAAATGTGTTTTTATTTATGAACTCATTTATGTAAAGTCATTCAAGGAGGATAATGGCTGCAGTTTGTTTTCATCATCTGGATGTTCGGTAAAATGTTTTTAATCTTAAAAGTTTCTTGTGTCAATTTTCTATTCATGCACTTGCAAACCACAAGTTACAGATAAAGGTCAGAAAAAGAAACTGTTCATTTTCTGATACATTTTGCTATAAGTTGATCTGATTAAAGTGTTTACTGATTAAACTGTAATTTAAATGTGTTAAACGTCTCATTCTGTTGTATATTTTACTGTTTTGTGGCACAAAATGAAACTGAACCAAGCAGCAGCAATTTTGTCTGAATCAAGTTTAATTTGACAGGATTCAGTCATGATAAGTGGAGAATGAGTTTTTTTTTTTTTTAGTATTTTGCAGGGGTATAAGTTAAAATGTTCTATTTTTACCCTTTTTTAATTCCCAGTTTTAAACAAAAAAAATCAATGACTACCAACTGCAATAAAAACAGTGATTTTCATATAGTTATACATAAATCACTTTTTTATGAGACATCTTAAAGATTTTTATTGTTAAAAGGCATATTTTTTTATTTTAAATGTGTGTACAAATTAAAAAAAAGGAACAGAACAACAAAGTGTACGGGTGGAGCAGACTTCTTAACATATCGTTTGAGTTTCAGTCCTAAATAATATTAAATAAGTTAAATATTAGGATGCCACGGTTCTTAATTTTTTTTTTTTTTTTTAGGTAATTTGAAAGATGCTTTCAAAACAAGATATTTCTAGAGGTGAAATAATCTTTTTTTAAAGCACCAAGCAGCTATATAAAACATTTCCTTGAAATTTAATTCACCGCTTAATTCCAATATACAGTATTTGTGATTAATCTACGGTGGCTGATGGGTGCAAAACATCTGCAAACAGTGAAAACCACTGCAAACAATTATGAACAATTATTGTAAGATGCAGTTTAAAAACCACAGTTGTCCAGTAGGTGGCGCTGTGGGCATTTCAGTGATCCCGTTATCTATTCTTCGCCGCTAGGGGCGCTGTGGCTCCGAACTCTTGAATAAAACTGTAGCTAGCAGCTTTTACATCCGGGTGCTTCTGTTCTCTGCTCCTTCCTTCCCTGCGCTTTCCACCGGGGAGACCGCCGAAGAAACTCCCGAATCCGGGGCCTAAGTCAGCATTTGGCACCGGGCCACCGAGGCACTGTTTCCCCCGCACCTCCGGCCGCACATGACGCGGGTTCCGCCGATGGTGGTGCGCGGAGCCGACCGCCCCCCGTCGCTGCGACATCCCCTCCGAGCTAAAGCAGTGTCGTTGGCTAATGTTAGCTAACAGCATCGATTCTCTGCGCCGCTCCACCCCCATCTGCCTCCGGTCGACCCCGCCACTGATCTGTCACATCGACCGTTGATTGATTAGCTAGCCGTGAACCATCGAGGGCATCCCGCCTACCGCCGTTCATCTGGTCCCGGAACCTGGCCTGGGTCCTTTCGGAAAAGAGACGAACGATTTACGTTCGGTAGCCTTTTTCTCCCCGATCCCCTTTTTTCCTCCTGTCTACCTCAACACTCCCGATGCCTCCCTGTCACCACCCTCGACTGCCCCTCTGAGATCCACCGGCTTCTTTGCTTCTAATAATCCGTCGAAGGAGCTCTGCCCGACGGGCACTGTGCCTGCGTGCATCTGCAGCGGATCTCTCTCTTTTTTTTTTTTTTTAATCGTCTCCGTTTTTAAAAGCCTGCTTCTTTTCTCCGGTTTGTTTCACTTCCCACCCACACACAGCTGCTCATCCTTATCTGTTTTCAACCCTTCCTCGAGTTGGCCATCCGCACTCCCCGGCAGATCTCCGTGACGCCCGGGCTGCGGCGTCCGAGCCGCGGGTCAAGCCATGCCGGGTCCGGTGGCCGGTAGCAAAGCCCGTGTGTACGCGGACGTCAACACACTGAAGAGCCGGGAGTACTGGGACTACGAGGCCCACGTTCCTAACTGGAAGTGAGCATATTTCAGGCTACTTGAGTTGCATGTTTGTGATGAATGTGTATGTAGGAGGCTGTGGCAGATTGGTGTCTATTATTATCCACGGAGCTGAGAGGCTGTGATGACACCACCATGGTAGTTTTCCAGCCTCGGCTGTCTGACACTTCCCTCCCTCTCATTTACTGTCTGTCTCCATGACCTCCTTGTCTGTTGTTTAAATAATATCAGGGCCAGAATCACTCATTAACATCTGACTTGAAGATTAAAACAACCTCAACTGTTCTGGTCTCACTCACTGTTTTTCTTTCTGTCTCTGTAGCAACCAGGAGGACTACCAGCTGGTCCGTAAGCTGGGCAGAGGGAAGTACAGTGAGGTGTTCGAGGCCATCAACATCACCAACAATGAGAAAGTGGTGGTCAAAATCCTGAAGGTGATCATTCTTGTAAACTTATCTGTTGGTCACCGCCGAAAGTGCAGTTGATACGTTTTGCACATGTCTGTGTGTTTGCTTGTTGACAAAATACCTCATGAACCACTGGGCAAATTTTACAGAAAGTAATCTTTGGATGTACGTCAACAATCGATTAGCATTTGGAGCCACCCAGGTTCAAGATGGCTGTCACAATCAACTGACCTTAAAAACGCAAAAACTGGTATAACTGAATCAATTCAACAGATGTTTACATAATGTTTGGTGTGGTAGTAGCTGAGAATGATCTCCCAACACAATGTGAGTGCTACCAGATTGTGCAACATGCATACATACATACACACTAGGGGTGCACCAATAAATCGGCTGTCCGATAAATTTTGGTTAATCGGCCGATAATTGCATGAGAAACCGATTTTACCGATTTTATTTTTATTTTTTAATTTTTTTTTTAGTTTTAGCAACAATTGTCTGAACTTCTTTTACATTTCAGAGCGCTACCTCATGACCAGTTAAAACAAGTTTGTATTGTTTCTAGGATATTATTCAATGGTATGTTTTTCAATAAAATAAGATTAGAAAATTGATGGTGCATTGTGACCTTACAACACCTGACAGTGTTGCTTATAAAACAAAATCGGAATCGGCAGGTCAGACTTTTTAGTGATCGTGATCGGCCAGAAAACTGCAATTGGTGCACCCCCTAATACATACATTCATCTATCTTCTGCTTGTTCTGGACTCATGTCTCGAGGCAGCAGTTTGAGCAGGGAGGCCCAGACATCTCTTTCCACAGCCACCTCTTCCAGCTCTTCTGGGAGGTTTTCAAGTTGTTCCCAGACCAGCCGAGAGAGACACAGTCTCCAATGTGTCCTGGGTCTTCCCTTGGGTCTCCTCCCAGATGGAAATGCTTAGAAAACCTCCCTATGGAGACGTCCAGGGGTCCATACTTACCAGATGCCTGAACCACCTGAACTGGCTCCTCGATGTAGAGGAGCAGTGGTTCTACTCCGAGTCTCTCCTGGAGAACTGACCGTCTCGCCTTATCTCTAAGGGAGAGTCCAACTACCCTGCAGAGAGAACTCATTTAGACCACTTGTATTTGCAATATCATTCTTTCGGTCACTACTCAGAGTTCGGGACCTCAGGCGAGAGTAGGAACGTAGACGGACCAGTAAACAGAGAACTTGTCCTTACAGTTCAGCTCCCTCCTAGACACTGGATGTTACCGAACTAGCAGAGTCCACAAAACTGCAGTAGCTGCTGCACAGAGCCATCTTTTGATGTTTCTCTCCATTCTTTCCTCACTCTGAACAAAACCCTGAGATACTTTTAACTCCTCCACTTGAAGCACCTCATTCTCAACCCAGAGACGGCAGTCCACCCTGTTCTAGCTGAGGACCATGACCTCAGATTTAGATTGTGTAAGAAGTTGGTTTTAACTGTTTGAAGTCGGCACTCTGTTAGCAAAATGTGACTTGAACCACTGGATGAATTTTAATGAAACTTTCAGGAAATTGTCATTTTGATTTTAGTTGCACTCTGTAGCACTTTGAGATTTTTGTTAATGAAAAGTGCGTTACAAATTAAATTCATTATTATTCAAATTCATTATTTCATATACATCTCAAGCTCAGAGAACTGTGAATTACTTCTCAGCTACTGCCACACCCAACATTTAGCACACTATCTGTAAAACTGAGATAGCCATTTTTTGTGCTTGCTAATGTTGATTAGCTGTCACAGCCGTTTTGAATTAGCTTGACTTCAAAAGTTAATCAGTTGTGGATGTGCATCCAATGATTACTGTTTAAGAATGTCATTAAAATTAGTCCAGCGGTTTGAGATATTTACCAACAGACATTTGAAAACACAAACGCGTTCAAAATTAAAAACATTTCAGATAAGAAGCAGCTGTAATTTTAGGAAACGGTGGGAAAAGGGCTACAAGTTTGTGCCTGAATTTTACATTTGCATAAACCCAGACAGTAAGATAAGAGAAGAACTTTATTGATCCCGCAAGAAATTGTTGATAAAAAAATGTAATAATCAGTTTTGAAAACAGTTGTTAACCCTAATTCTCATCTTTGTTTTTAGAGGCACAGAAAGTCTGAAGTTTGGTGAAAGTGTTTTTGTCTCAAAGTCTGAATGTTGCTGTAGTCGGGCCATATCAGGGTTAAGGATAAAAAATAAATGGACTAATCCTTCACCAGGAGATTAATCAACTCTTTTAGACAACAAAATAAAAGATTTGTAGCAGAAGTTCTATATATTATCAAGAGGTGAGACGTTTGAACTTGTGGTTTATGAATTAAGATTAATTTATCGTAATAAAATGACTACACCTGAAAGTGGTCATCTTCAGTTTAATTTATATATATATATATATATATATATATATATATATA